TCGGCGGGAGGTAGGGGTGGCTTACGGGGTGTCTGCGATGAACCGACACCTCGCCCTGGCTTGTTGCGATTCGGTTTAGCGTCTGCACACCTTCACGAACCATCCGTTAATCACCCCGAGTAGGCACTGAGCTCACGGAGTATCCTTCGCGTAGATGGCAGCCCTCCCGCCCGCCTTGCCAGCGCTCCTGAGCCAACTTCCAGGGCGCCCCCGTGCAAGTTTTGTTCTCGGTGCGGGAAGTACGTGCGTTGTCCTTGGGGTAGCTTGTGGCAATGGGTTATGTATCTTTAAACGTTCCGAAGTAATTGTAGTTTCAGGGCAAACTGTGTGGTGAATATATTGCTGTAATTCTTCCGTACAGTCATGTTTTAACATTTTTAGATGCTTTCTGGGAGACCAGGGTGTCCCGAGTAAAGTTAGACACAAAGATCGAAGAGTGTGGCTTTTCCTTATTATATTTACAAAACCCGAGTTGTTTACGTCTGATAATTAACTACACCACTGCTGTGAAAAGTTGCTGAGTGTTAACTGAAAACTAAACTGTATGTCAGAGTTAGGTCCATTTAATAACAGAATCACTTTGTGTTGTAAGGTAACAACCCAAAGGGCTTAGGGGCAACCTTGAAAAGCAAATTGACGGCTATGGTTAGTTTCAGTGAGCTGGTGCGACCCAGATTGGTTGTAGCAAAAAAAAATATGTAGTTCTTTGTTGGCTTGCTATATTGCAGAGTATGAATTTTTGTGGATCAAATCATTCTAGTTATTAAAGTAAGCTGTCGCTTTCAAATAAGTAGTGTTCAAGACAGTGGCTTGTCCAGTGGTAGCAATGTGGCAATGAATCCCAACTGACTAAAGAAATCCTGAGGCAGACAGTGAATGGTATCGTATTTTCATATTTCTGTTAAAATGCAAACAATGTTATAATAAAAACAATATAAGGTTCACTTTCCTTTTATGTGAAGAACTAAAATTCCAGTTGAGGTGAAAAGCAGAAGTGGAAAAAAAAAAAACCCACAAAGCTGAAGTGTATTTTACAGTGTCCAAATGTTGTATAGAACTGTATTTTTGAAAAGCAATTGCTTCCTGTGTCAAGGTTTGAGGGTATGCAGAACATCTGAAAATTGAAACAGGTGCTTCAGAGAACATTGCCAAGTTGTCATGGGCAGGTAGACTTTTAAATTGTCATGGTATAGTCACGTTTAAGGTAAATACAATCACATGTTTTCAACAGGACACTCAATGGAGAGAAGTAAATAAGATATCTGTGCTAACTTCTGACTTTTTTTTTGACAATTGCATTTGAAATAGCCATTTCTACAGTAAAGCAATACAAAGTCTTAGATAGTTATGATTGTAAGGTAAATATAATTGGATAAATATATCTCCTTTTTTTAATTATGACTGGATCTGTGTTGATCTATAGGGACAGGAAATGCATCAAGAGTTTCATGAGTCCAAAAATGTAAGCAACTTCTTGTGCCTATATTGCTGCTGGATGGTTGTACAGAATGTTTATATACTGTTGTTGTTTGGCAGCTCAGTCGTGTACTGCTAAGTTCCAGTAGGAGACAAAAACTAGGTGTTCCCACCTAATGTGCAGTATGAAAATCCCTAGGTGAGCTGGAAGTATGACTGATGCTCCCCTACGTGATCAGATTGCATATATAAAGCAGTAGTAGCCATTTATGTTTGGAAACCAGCAGGTGCTGGCCTTCCACCCTTTCTAGTTTCAAGATATTCAGGATTGGAAAGGGTTTAGTTGGTTTGTTTGTTTTACTGCGTGGGTTCGCTCATGTATCATCCACCTCATGTGAAGCTCTCCCAAGTTGGGTCGCTAGGCTTTCGTGAGGACAGGAGGGAGAGTTCTTGACCTCTGAGGGTATGATCAGACTGTTGGGGTGTGCAGGGAAGGGTGGGGAAACTTGGTTTCTGATCTCTGATCCTCGTGTGTGTTTTGTCAAGTGTTGCAATGCAGAAATTCTGAGTGAGGTTATCATTCTAAAGGCAGCTGAATTTTGGAAAAAAAAAAAAGCTTAAGTCAAAAAAGGCTTTACAGTTGCAGCAACGAAACGTAGATGAAGTATTTTACAGACCAACTTTTGGGCTCTGAGCACCAGTGAGGGATGCAGTTTAAGACACTGCTGTCACCTATATGCTTAGGTGAGATATGGCCCTGCTTCACATGTGGGCTTTTGTTAGTAACCTCCAAATGTTATTCACCAATAGCTGTAAATTTAACTCTGGGAGACAAGACATCTAGAAGGTAGGTGCAGTGACTAAGCTCTTTTAAAAGTGTAATCAGGGGAGGAAGCAGAGGTAGTTATTTACACCCACCTCTTAGACAATAGCATACTTGTTAAGTGTGTGTGTGTGTATCTGCATACACATATATAGCTGCCTGTAAACTTGGTGTATTGGAATTGAATGGGATGTATGATTTATGACCCTGGAATACCTATTTATGTACAGTTCAAATCACCCTTTCCTGGACCTAGGTGCTGCAGCCTTTAGTATCTCTGTGAACAGTGCTGTTCTCATACAGGTACAAGGACTGAGCAGCAAAATGTAGCTTTTCCATTTATTTCCTTTGTAAGCTCTTTTGAATTCAAATGTGGAAGATTTCTAACAGTTTAGGTGTACTAGAATTATAGGAGTTTTGTCTTGGTTTTTCTCTAGCATTTTCTCTGCTGTTTCAAAGGGTATAAACAGCCATTTTTCTTTGGTCTATCATGAAAATAGTTCATTTGGGTGGAAAGTGAAAGTCAGCTGTGTAAATGTGCCTTTTTGCCCTGTTACTAAAGGGTGAGAGAGTTCTTCATTTCCTGATTATTTTTTTTTCTTAGAATGGATAAGAAGCATTGAGAGAGCATATTAATATGTGATAAAAATTGAGGCATATCAAAAACGCTAATTGTGTAGGAAAGAGATCTTCATGCTGTGATGGCTGCTGTGAAATCCATACTTGTAGTTAAAAAGCTGGATAGACTTTCAGGCATGACTGGAATGAAGAACTGAAAGAAAGTTGATTACTGTTGTGTACAACTTCAGTGTTGGGTGCAGTTCCAGTAGCCCCATCTCAAAAAATGGTACAAAACTTAATAAAACCTACAGAGAGGGATAACAAAGAGGGCTAGAGTCATGGGACGCCTTTTATACAAGAAGTGGCCAAGCAGAGTAGGATAAATACGTGACCGCATATGAAGTCTACAAAGTCATAAATGGTTTGGAGAACATGTATATGCAGTAGTTATGTTATTTCTATACTGTAAACATGTAAATCAACTGAGAAAGATGTCAACAGCCCGAAAAGCCATTGTTGCTGGGTAAATTGGATATATCCGATGTCCTTAGATCAGGGGTTGTTGGGAAGAGCTCATTTCGGTGTGGGTTTGTCATACTCAGCTACTGGCTGATCCCTAGAGACAGAATGTTGGGTCAGGTGAGTTCCTGCCATGGACCCTGAAGTCAGTCCTTCAGTTCTCAAAGTCCTGGTTTTGTTATTTTGTCAAGAGATCTTTCCCTTTGAATAAGCTCTCTGTTGAATGTAAATGTGGATGCAGGAAAAAAACAACACTTGTGTTGGCGGTTACTGTACGGGAAGGCTCTTGGGTGGCCTTGAAGCTGATGGTGGTCAAAAGCATGGTTCTGTTTCAGTATACATCAATTTCATGCTCCACAGAATTTAGTCAATTGTGGTTTTTTAAAAGTGAAGTCTTTATATCTTTTGCAACCTTGGAATCTTTGAGTTTGTTCTTGATCTAAAATTTCTCCACACACTGGAGAACCAGCTCAGGATATGGAGGTTTAAGTTCTTTCAAAAGGAAATGCTTGCTTAAGCTTACTTTAGCAGGAAAAAAACCCCACTGAGTTAGCCTTGAACAAATGAGATGCATGTTTGTTGAGAGCAGCGGTGGTCTGTCCGTCAGCTGTAGCTGAACAGAGCTACTAGGACTCCTGCAGCAGAGCTATTTCTAGATCAGCATAAACTCAATATCTTGTTCAGAGAAGGAAGCAAAGACTATGTGATCCTCTTTCTCTCTGCCAGCTAATAGCTTCTGAAGCTGACTCGTTTCAGCTAGGCTCGTTAGCGTGTAGGTCTCATTTGTCAGAAATCTGGCAGCAGAGCAGATGCTAATAAAAGTGCTGAGGGAAGGGTTGCAGCTTAATAGATATCGAAGAAATTGCAGGAAGAGAGGCTTTGAGGAAGATGTGGAGGAAAATAGGCTTCAGTTGTTACCTGAACCTTGAAACTGCATGTTTGTTTCAGCTAACCTTAATACAGGTATTAGCACAGATCATAAAGCACTCTTAATTCTTGATAATGCATTTCACTACAAGCGTCAATTAGGGCAAACGATTGGCAGCAGCCTTTCATTAAACTATGTAGGTGTTCCAGTTTAAATGATACTGCTGTTAAACAGTTTCTTGCCATAACTTGGTATATGGTTGCACCAATCTGGGTCTAAATTCTAAATAAGTTCATCGTAAGTCTAGAAATACGTAGTTTATAGGCAGATGGAAGCTTTCTCTTGCTAGCCTTGGAGCTAGCCAGCTGAGCCCAAGTTAATTATTTCCTGCCATTCACACACTGCGGCTATACATGAGAGAGCTAATGTGGTCAGGCAGCTTCAGTTTGCTTGGGCCGTAGGGCGAGCTTATGGCTGCTAAGGATGTTGTGCACACTGCCCAGGTAGCCTGTATGTACAGATTTCAAATACTGGCTTTTTTTGTGCTACACTATTCAAGACAGATAATATTGTATAAGCCAGATTAACACTGATCATCTTTCTTGTCCATCTACTTGTATTTTACCATTTCTGGCAAAATAGTATTAGTGTTTTCATCTTCCTATTTTAGGACAGTTTTTGGGCATTAAGTGATTTTTTTTTTTTTTTAATCTTCTGACTAATTACATGGCTAAAAATGATCAGCAAAGGCAGTTTGCTAATGCAAACCTTTTTTGTTAAATATCTAGACTTTTGAAAAATTAACCTCTCTGGAAAGCATGTAAAAGCTCTGACTTGCTTGTCGTATAGTGTCTGTGTGTAAACATCATGTTGCCTGGAGTATCTGCTGTTTGGTGTGTGTTTTTTGTTTAGTTTGGTTTTGGTTTTTTGTTTTCCCCCAGCAGTAATAGCCTGCCTCAGTGTTAAAGTCGTTTGAGGCTGAAATTGAGCATATAGACAGAATCACAAAATCGTTTAGGTTGGAAGGGACCTCTTGAGATCATCAAATAAGCTTTGAATGGGCTTTTGGTGTTGAGGTGTAATAAGATTGCAAAATAAATGCCACAAACTCCCTGACTTATTAGGCATTTTTCTTTAGTCTCCCATTGTAAATTAATGGCTTTTTTTCTGTTATAGATTGACTATACAGGAACAGAGCCTTCTAGTCCGTGCAACAAATGTTTAAATGTGTCCTGGGACAGCACGCCACCTTGTACTTGCACCATCAATTTCACACTGGAACATTCATTTGAGGTATGCTACCCTGTATGCAAAGTGAAATTACCACAGTTTATATGGTTTGTTTCATAATCAATAGGAAAGCTGTATCACTTATGGGGTTTTTTGTTGGTTTTTTTTTTGGTGGATTTTTTCCCCCTGTTCTAAAGGAATATTTCTAGTTTTCCTGTTAACTTGGATCTGGTTTTTTGTGCCTTTTCAGTAGCAAGGATGATATGCCTCTGTTTATCTGGAAATGTACAACATTAAATGGAATGCTTGTGTTTTACACATTAGATTTACTGTATGTGTCGTACAGCTGGTGAGTAGCTCAGCTATTCCTGCATGATTTGCAAAAACTGAGTTCAACAAGAATTGGAAATACCAGATAAGTGTTTTCTGACAAATTGGAGGCAAATCGTGAGGCTTACGTGCTTAACATCAGACAAGATAGGTGTTGGGAGCAGTGCTGGTAAATATCATTCTGATAGTTTATGGCATGTTTGGCTTCAGGACACCAGCTTATGTTAGGATGCTACTCTTGTGTACTCAAGTGTGAAGAAAGGATTGAGGCTTCTACTTCATGAATGTTGCTGTAAAGTAAACACAGAGTTTAAAAGGTTAAAACTTAAGCTTTGTGTGAATGAAAAACCCCTCTTGCCCCATCTTGCTTCTTGTAGAGCAATGTATTCATGTATTACGGACTTTCCAACTTCTATCAAAACCATCGTCGTTATGTGAAATCTCGAGATGACAGCCAACTAAATGGAGACAACAGTTCACTACTTGTAGGTATTTGTGCTTGGATTTTAACAAGCAACTAACTTCTGACTGTTGCATAAATCACCACATAAGAGTATTCAGTTTAATAATAATGAGGTAGTAGAATTTTTGCATAACAGGAGACGGCTGTAAGGAATTAATATTTTGTTTACGGAAAATAACTGTATAAAATATTGTAAAATTTCATGTCAGTCACTTCATTAAGCAGACAGCAATGCGGTACTTCAGTAATTTCTCAAATTTTAATAGTTTTAAACTGTCTTGTTATCTTCAGTCAATAGTATTTATCTGTATCCAGTCTGTCTGAAGTTTTTGTTTTCAGGATGAAATAATATTTGGTTACTTGGCACGTGGTTTGGAGATTGCAGCTAAATGCATCCATTTTTGTAGACGCTGGTTCAATATTGAAGATCAGCGATATTGGAAAATATCAGTACTTTGTATTCTGTTCAAGGCACTGTAATGTTTAGGACCAGACCTCTCCTTTTCCTAATTTTTATGAGGAGTGGGAATGCAGTTGGGTTTCTGCTCCAGCAAGAATGATTCTCTGTTTTACCTGTAAGCTTTAAAGAAGGGA